CAGAAAGCTAATTTCCGCCGTTTTGATCCGTGATCTCATTCTAATGATAATGTTAAGAAAAACATCAGGCCGAGATTAACTGAGTTTTGGTGTTTCTCACCAACAAATTTCCATCTGGTGGCAGATGGCTGCATAACATTAAGATACAACAATTTACTGGCATTAAGCATCAAAGAAAATGTAAACAATTAGATTAAACGACTAGTATGTCTGGTACCGACTAATAACAACATAACTATTAGTTGACTAGTTCCGCACAACCCTAATAGTTATCAGTTATTGTTAACCATCACTTGTCAAAGAGCACTGAAACATCTAGGAATAGTAAGAACTACCCGAGGACTACATGAGGACTTTTCATGGACTACAGCTCACCATGATCCCAGACATCCTTACCAACAAACTCGACCACCTCGATATCCCCCTGTCCTTTTTTTGCGCTGGTGCTCAGAAAATACCTTGAAGCTGAATATCCCAAAGAAGTCATAATGGACTCCAGGAGGCTCAGACAGGTCCACTCCCCTCTCATTATAAATGAAGAACGGGTGGAAACTTTCTCCACCTTCAGGTTTCTGGGCACCCACATCTCCGCCGATTTCACCTGGACCCACAACACCAACACCCTGGTAAAGAAGGCCTAACAGCAACTGCACTTCATCTGTGTCCTGAGGAAGAAAAAGCTGGACCAGAAACTGCTGCTAGCCTAGCATGCCTCACTGGAGAGCGTGCTCGCCTGATGCCTGGGCGTTTGGTATGCTTGGGCCACTGCTGAGAACAGTATGGCTGCGCAGAAGGTAATGAACACCGCTCAAAAAATCATTGGCTGCCTTCTGCCACCCCTGGAGGTCATTGCCAGATCCTCCTGTCTAAGAAAAACCAGGGACATGATGACTTGCCCTGCATCCCACCCACCACATGTTTGACCTGCTGCCCTCTGGTTGTTGCTTCAGGTCAATCAGGTCCCACACCTCCAGACTTAAAAACAGCGTGTTCCCCTGGGCTGTTCGGACTGTCAACAAACACTATCCCCCACATTACACCCCTGCCCACCCACCTCACCAATCAGAGCCTTTATCTGAGTAACCATCACCACTCAGACCACTCGCACATGGACTCTTTTCAGACCGAGTAATTTGCATCATTGCACTGCCTTTTGCAATTTCTTCTGTAATGTGTGCCTTTTGTGTATACCCCTCATAATTATATGTATTTAAGCTGTTTGCTATTTATTCCTGCTGTCTACTATTCATATTTTACTCCAGCATGGTTGATGTGGAGCACCCACAATTTCATTGTACATTTTCAATGACAACAAAGGGCTATTCTATCCTGCCTCCTGTGTTCCTTGCATCTTGTTAAGTCCTCTTTGCTGCATGAGATAGCCCCTTTTAGTTACTTCCTGTTTTATTTTGTTAGTCCCTTGTCTCATGTGTTGTATTTAGTTGGATTTTCTGTTTGGAGTTTCCATTGTGCAGTTTATGTTCTAAGGCTTTTTGTCAATTGTGAACAAAGAAAACATTAAATTAACCTTCATCATGTGTGCAGACGGAAAGACATAAAAGCATCTCAGAGAGTTTATTCACATTTCTTTAAATTTCAGAGCATTTCACCATAACGCGCCCACTAAAGGACAGTCTCAGGTAACTGAGCTTTGCCAAAATGCAGCGAGTATGAGGGAATTCTGATGGATATTTGTTGTGTCTCAGTTACTCATTAAATGAGGCTGTGCTGGAGTCTAGCTTCACTGTGTTTAACTTTGTTGTGCTTCACTAGAAGCATTGTTGTTTCTAGCTAATCAGAAAATATTCAGTTATTACAAAACTGTTGACTAAAAGAAAAAAAAGTTGACAATGACATTTTATTTACAATACCCTCTTCTCTCTGCTTGGTGGTATTACAAACGGTGGAGAACCACATGGCTTTAAATGAGGAACCATTTCAGCTTAAAAACCCTCATTTGTCCCTCCATGTCCAAACAGAGCAGTGGGGTGGGGCAGGCTGCAGTAACCATGACGATACCACTGTAAAACCAGAAAATCTGACAGCTTTTATTTGATAAAGGTTTGTCGGTCGGCTGATTCCATGAGGTCACTCCCCCCTCGAGCTTGTGTATTGCTGTTGTTTGCTGTGACGCAGTGTCTCCATTCCTGATAATGGTCAGGAAGAAAACAAGCTCCTGTTTCACTGATTCCTTAAATTGAAGGTGAACCCGAGTTTAAATCCTGCAGGCTGTTGAGCTGTATGCAGTTTAATTGGCTCAGAGACTTCACTAGCCCCAAGCTGCTTCACTAGCCACGAGCCCGAGGAGGCCATGCTTCGATGTGCAGTTTGATTTCCACACAATTGTGTGCATTTATACATATTACTACAGGTATAATAAAAAGCGACAGATGTTTGACTGACTGAGGAGCCAAAATCAGTGCGGAGAATTATTCCTGTAAACAAGCCACTCTGTCAGGGATCATTCCACCTTTTTTTTTTTTTTATTGTTGTTGGTGTTTGTCAAGGGATCTGAGAAGACTGCAGAGTGGTCGCAGTGTTTTTCCATGTTGGAGCAGAAATGTGAGAATTACATCACCAACCCGTCAGGCTGCAGTTCACATTTGTGTTTGTCTAAGCTTGACCTTTGACCTTTTGGGTATGCGAAATAAAGACTGCCATCATTCAGGGTGCCAATAAAATATGTCAAATAAATAAATTTGAATGTGAAAGAAAACATTTCTCAGAACATGGTAAAAAAAGATTAACGTGACCTCACGTCAGTTCAAACTGTGCCCGAGATGATTGAAAATATTTCCCCATCGCTGCAAAGCAAACACTCAGAAATAACAGAGAAAAGAGTTAGTGTTCTCCAAGATCACAAACAGATTACATCTGCTCTGTGGCGTCTCTGCAGGCGTGATGGGCCCTGTGGAGATGGACGAGTTCGGGGACAGAGAGATGGACTTCGCTGTGTGGGACATGACCGATGTTGAGTCTGGAGAATTTCAGGTAAGACTATTGATGTCATCATTGTCATGTAACACCTTAGAGGTACGATAAAGGCTGCAGAGCTACCGTAAAACCGACTGGAGTAAAGTTCAGTGTGTCAGGGGAGACCCCGACGAGCGAACCAAGCTCTTGCAACGGTTGTATAGGGATCGAATAGCCCGTAGAAACGGGCCAGATACCCTATACTCCCCCAACAGCTCCCACAGGACACCCCGAGGGACACGGTCGAATGCCTTCTCCAAGTCCACAAAACACATGTAGACTGGTTGGGCAAACTCTCATGCACCCTCAAGTATCCTTGAGAGGATAAAGAGCTGGTCCAGTGTTCCGCGACCAGGACGAAAACCGCATTGTTCCTCCTGTATCCGAGGTTCGACTAGCGGACGAACTCCCTTTTCCAGCACCCTGGCATAGACTTTCCCAGGGAGGCTGAGGAGTGTGATCCCCTTGTAGTTGGAACACACCCTCCGGTCCCCCTTCTTAAAGATGGGGACCACCACCCCGGTCTGCCAGTCCAGGGGTACTGCCCCTGATCTCCACGCAACATTGTAGAGGCGTGTCAACCAGGACAGCCCTACAAAAAATTAAATAAAAATAAAAGTGCCAATAATCCCGAGTGCATGTTCTCTTCGTGTGTCAGTTCCCAGCTCCCTCTTCGGTGTCTATGTACACTTGTGCCCAGCACCCTCCACCCATTTCCTCAATCCACCTGGAAACAAGAGACACTGCTGTAAGTACATTCCAAACAACTGGCTAACAGAAACACTTTCACCTCACTAGCAGGAGAACTGATCGTACAACGATCCTGTGCTTACTGTCGCCCAGTTAGTAGTACTCACTTGACGAGGCTGATCAGCAGCAGGTGAGTGTAATTACTCCAGTTGTCACTGGTTCCAAGGCAGGAAAACTCTCCAGGCCTGGTGTAGCAGTACCAGAGAATTAAACTTAGAACATCCTTTAACCCCAAACCAGAGTTCAAATTCTAAACCCTGCGTCCCCAACCGACGGCCCTGACACACCAATAAACCCTATTCCAGAGGTGGCCAACTCCAGGCCTCGAGAGCCAGTGTCCTGCAGGTTTTAGATATCACTCTGGGTCATCACAACTGAATCAAATGATTAGCTCATTACCAGGCCTCTGGAGAACTTCAAGAAATGTTGAGGAGGTAATTTAGACATTTAAATCAGCTGTGATGGATCAAGGACACATCTGAAACCTGCAGGACACCAGCCCTCGAGGCCTGGAGTTGGCCACTCCTGCCCTATTCGATACTGTTAGGGAGTAAGTGAGATTGCAGGCTTTGAACAAATTGAAGAAACCAAAGAGTTGTGGTATGTGTATGTTCTCAGGTGGTGTGCGTGTATAACAGCAGCATAAAGCAGCTCATCCTGCAAAATGGTCTAAACTTCCAGTGGCCCAAAGGTTCTCCGCCACCAGACATCCCCAAGTGTGGCTTCAAGAACAACAACCCAGCATGTCTCACAAGTACGAACGCACAACTACAGACTACAGAGCAAACTGCACAAAGGATGTCACGAGAACCAATGCACGGACTGGTTCTTATATAGTGCATTTGTATATAGTGCTTATAGTGAAGTTTGATATGTTCGAAAGGGTAAAGTCTTTGCAATGGCTAACGTTATACATCCTTAAGGTAACTTAATGGAAATAACAAACTTTAAAGTAACACTAACAGGATACTCAGTCATTTCAGCCTCTGTGTTGTCAAAAAATATAGCTAACACTTTAAAGAAACAGCTTGCTGCCAGGATGCCATTGATTTATTAAAGTAGTTTATCTTTAAGTACATGGGATGATAATTTTTTTTTCCTATTGATAATCATATAATTTTAATGATTCGTACTGACATTTCTGGTAAAAATATTGCTAAACTGCAGATCACAGGCTACGTCACAAAAACATCACATTTTGAAGCCTAAACATCAGCATTATGGCCGTATTGGGTTTTTGGAACTATTAGTGACCATATTTTGAAGCGAGGTTGGAGTTATCAGCTGCAATGGTCGCTTAGTTATACATACAAAACCTGAATACGTAATAAATCAATACAACTTTCAGCCCAGTTCTATTTTTTTCTGCATAATCCATCATATACAATTGAATCAAATGAAAAAGTCTCTTTTTAAAACTTGTTTTATTAGTATTTATCTTTTGCTTGATGCAATGTGCATAAAGTTAAAAATGAAATTATATGCAACAGTCTTTGACTTGAAGTAATTTGTTTAACATTTAAACCTGTTTTCTGCGTATTCCAGCATATTACACTTGCTCTTTCAAATAGATGCAAGTAAAACACAGCAAAAAAATAAATGAAATCTAAGATTCAGCAGCACTAAATCTATTTTCAGCTGATTAGCCGGAGCAGGGCCGGTGGAGGTTTGCCTGGTGCCATAGCGGTCATGTCAGTGGGGGGATCCGGGGGTTTCTCTGTGAATTTTACGTTCCCGTGGCAGCGTGCTAGGTGCTTGCTGAAATTTTGAAGTTTAATTTTTCACTGTAGAAAGAAGTTTTATTCCCACGCAGAGTGTACAGCAGACGCTAATGTTTTGGTCACTTTTTATGGAATCAAACTCAAAGTAATGTCAGTACTTCCAAGCTTTAAACGCTGCACATACTCTCTCCCACACTCCATATTATCCATTGTTGATCTACACACGTCTGCTGCTGCCACAGACGTCACACACTTGTACGTCGTTGTCATGAGACACTGTCACAAACAAAATCACTGTTTAGTAATGCAGTAATGCAGTAATGCAGCATGCTTATGGGAAAGAAGTAAGAGTAATCTAATTACTTTTTTGCAATAGTAATCCCTTACTTTACTTGTTACTTTAAAAAAGTATGCCTCACTGCCCATCTTTGCTTATAACACATGTTAAGCCCCATGGACTGAAAACTGCTTCACCTAGAGCAAAAGAGCTCAAACTGGTCCTCACTCCTGCAAACAGTAATGGATTTTCTTCCTGTCTCATCTTTTAGGTACAGTTGGTATGCATCAGATGGTTGCAATGGTGATCTGCTTTGTCTTTGTCATCATCGTTACTGTCACCATCTTCATCTACAGGTGAGCCAAACATGTTTGTATCTCTGTACTGAGTATGAAAACTGGACGTATGAGGAGACTCTTGGCAGTCTGAGCTCTCTTTCTGTTTTATTCCTCTTCCCTCCTCTTTCCATTCATAGAGAGATCACAGCCAGGCCTAGAGTGAATGATGAAGAATGAATTTAGAGTAAAAACCATAAATACAGCTCTAAATGTTGTTGTTTTTTCCTTCTAATATGGTCTTTGCATTATCTCTGAGTATCCTTCAATCTCGCTTCTGTTTCTGAATGCTGATTCTTAAATTCTTTTTTGCTTTTCATCAAATGTTTTTATTAAGTTCTCAAAAAAAATTAACTTTTTTTTAAATACACAAAAAAACAAACCAAACAGGACACCAGACAGGACAGAGCTGTTACCAAAACACGAGTCCAAATACACAGACGGACCAAGGTTACAGCAAGTACATATGGCCCCTCTTTCCATTGCGACCCCGGCAGATCTCAGTTTAAATCATTACACTCATGCTGCACATCAGGCCCAGAAAGAAAGGCTCGAAGGAGAAATCCTCATCTGACTTCAACAAAGAAAACCCTGATTTCTTTACATTTTGAGTCATTGAAAGTGAAAATGAACAAAGCATAAAACTGACAAGAAGCTCACTCATGCACTCAAATTCCAAAACTGACTCCATACAGGCAGGTGAGACTCTACTGTTACGAGGTTTGTTATCATCAGTTCATAAGCTGAAGTCATTCCCTTGCTCTGGTCTGGCTGCTTTCCCACTTATAGAGCATAATCCTAACTGGAACAAACGCTAGTGTAAAGCCAAGCATCTCTGACTGAGATCCTCAAAGCACACTCAAAGCACTTTCTACTACAAATTTCATCCGCCCAATCACAGACATTCATCTGTCTGCGATTGGGCGGACATGCTTTTATCCATACCTAATACTTTCACACACGCTCACACGTCAGTGCTCCAGTGGTTCTAACACCAGAGCCACAGCCGCCCCACCAGATCTCTGTGTAACTCATTCAGCCTGTTTATCGTTTCCATCAGCTTTCTCTCCATTTTCCTTCCCCTCAAATTTCAACACACACACACTTGCACATATGCACATATACACACTCTCTTCCTGTCTGCTGAACAGGAAGCTGAAGCTGGAGAGCGAGCTTGCAGCTCAGCTGTGGAGAGTTTCCTGGGATGACGTCCAGATGAGCAACCTGGATAAAGTCCTGAAGAGAGCGTGCAGCAGGCTCACCATGTCTCTGGTAACACAGCTGTTATTATACTATAAATAAATCATCCGTACTCACTGAAAACATATTATACCTAATACAGTGCCTGCCTTTACTTCCTGAAATTTTCCAGTTTCTGTTTATAGTCTGAAATGTGTTTGCATTTGTAAACAATGACTAACAGATGGAACAGGAAGCCTTCAACTGGATTTCTATTTTTCCCTTTCTGGAATTCCCGGCTACACCGGAAGCTCTCTGGGCCTGGATCAGCTGACTGACTGATTTTTTTCAGATTGAAATAAATCATTTTCCTAAATTCTTCATCGTATAGTAGAGTTGTGCAAAAAAAAAAAAAAGATAATTGAAGTCTCCTTCAAACCATAAACCTGGTTTTCTTTTCTTTATATAATATATATTATATTATATATTATATAATTATTCATAAGTGCACCAACTGTGATGCTGATTACTCTATTAATTAGTAACTACTGGGCTGGACCACTCATGCAAAACATGAGGAAAAAAGTTTCCTCCGTATGGTAGTGCTGCATGTTATCCAGGACCTACACTCTTCATTGAAAAAAAGCCGAGTGTCTCGATTGTTTGTGCTTGTCTGCAGAAAGGATCCAACTATGGTTCTCTGATGACCATGGAGGGAAACTTTCAGATCTACACTAAAACCGGATACTACAAGGTCTGACAGACGCTGACAGTCCCATCACATGTTCCTCTAACAAGATGGTGTCAAGTGGTAATCTGGTTCACTGTGTCTCCTGCAGGGAAACTTGGCAGCTATCAAATACATCAACAAGAAACGCATCGAACTGACCCGGAAGGTTCTGTTTGAACTGAAGCATGTAAGACCTTCAGGCTATCTGCCCACTAACCTACCAGCTAACACTGTAACTGACTGACCTAGCTTATAGGTCTTCTTGCAGGATGTTGAGCTTTTGTATTTGTAGCAAATGAAATAATAGCCTAGCGACTGACAAACTTACTAACCCACTTAACAATGGACCATCCTTCTTACTATAGACTGAAAACCTTACCTACCTGCATATATATATATATATATATATATATATACACCTATCCGATCTAACCTCCTAAATGATCTCAACCTACCAATCTACCCATTTTGTTTGTAGAGCATGATAGGTTTTAAAGTAGCAGCCTCTGTGTTTTTGTAGATGCGAGATGTCCAAAATGAACAACTGACCCGCTTCATTGGCGCCTGTATCGACCCGCCGAACATGTGCATCATCACAGAGTACTGTCCAAGAGGCAGCCTTCAGGTACGTCACACCCAGCTAGTGTTTTGCTAGAAATCTGTGCATTATTTTTCATCGACACTTTCAGCTTGCATGTCAAAACCCTGGTCCAGTTTTACTTTGTACAGATTAGAAATATTGCAAAAGGTCAGAACAATATTTCCAAATAATATAACTGCACACCTTGTCCACGTCCTCAGTTTACTTTGGTTAGATCGTGACAGCTCTTTGGATGCAAACTCTGACATCAAACATGGAGATGCCTGCTGTGTGGAGCTCGTGTTAATATGGGAGCAGCTGAAAGCTGGTTAGGCATTAAGATACCTAAATGATGCAGTGGTTTCTACAGTCAGGAGGTAGCACTGCAGCCATCCTCTGCTCGTTCATTCCTTACATTTTTTCATATGAGATGTTTTTTGTGTTTCAGATGTTCTCTCTCCTCTCAGCTACAGTTATCTGTCAGCACTGTAGCATAGCAACCTCCCAGCACAGTAACCTAGCAACATGCAAAGGTTGATGTGGGCCGTGTGGGGGTTTGGGTTGTTGTCAGATGACCGCTGGATGTCAGGGCTGTCATCCTAACACAGAGCAACTCAGGCGGTTTGAGTTATTTTGAGTTTGTGCTCTGAGATGAGGATGATGCTTTTAGTGTGGGGAGGAAGAATGAATATCAAATATCAGCTGAAGCTGCTGCATGCAGATAGTCACAAGCAAAGACACCATTACTCTGCTGAGTGATTCAGTATTCAGTACACAATTTTAACCATGCACAGAAATGTCCTCGCAGAGCAGAAGTGTCCTCAGTGTCTGTCACTGAGGACCTCACTTGGACTGAATGGCCAACATGCGTGTGTGTGTGTGTCTCTCCCTCAGGACCTGATGGAGAGTGACAGCATCACACTGGACTGGATGTTCAGATACTCACTCATTAATGACATTGTCAAGGTAAAAACTTGTCTCTGTGGCTTGGGGTTGGGGTTACAGAAAACACATGTAAATGAAAAAGTATGAACGAGGTCTCTGACATCAATGTTGGACTCATGTTTCGATTCTAGAGAGCTTCAGACTTTTCACCTGAATCAGCTGTCTGTCTGTCTGTCTGTCTGTCTGTCTGTCTGTCTGTCTGTTTGCCTCCAGGGAATGGCATTTCTCCACAACAGCGTCATCATCTCCCATGGTAACCTTAAATCATCCAACTGTGTGGTGGACAGCCGCTTTGTCCTGAAAATCACTGACTATGGCCTGCAGAGTCTTAGGACCAGAAACTGCCCCGAGGACACACATGCTTACTATGCACGTATGTATTGAAGCTGACGCTCTACATTAAAGACTGTCTATGAGGATGTTGTTATCACTGATATCAGTTATTGATCACTTGGCAGGGAAGCTGTGGACAGCTCCAGAGCTGGTGAGGATAGATTGTCCTCCGAACTGTGGGACACAAAAGGGGGATGTGTACAGTTTTGGGGTGATCCTGCAGGAAGTGGCTCTGCTCAGAGGAGTTTTCTACCTCGACTCACACTCTCTCTCCCCTAAAGGTGAATGTGTGTTTCTCAGG